CCCCCTCGCAGCGGAGAATCGCGTAGGGTTCCTCCATTTCCGCGACACCGTTTTAATTCTCCCCGTTTTCCTTTCCTCCCTTCCACCGGGTTTTCCTCTGCCGAACGAAAACGAGAACTAGAACGGGAACGGGAGACAACGGGGTAGCAGAAGCCGGCGAAAAGAGGGTCGGAGGAGGGAATCATCGGACAGGCAGCAGCAGTGGCAGTGGCAGCGGCACAGCCAACGAGCAGCCGTGAGGGTGAACGAGGCTGCGAGGGGGGTGTAAGGGTAGGGGCCAGCAGAGGAGCGCGCAAATCCTTTTAAATCCACACAATTGCGACAATGGGGCTTTATTTGTTATCTCGGGGGCCACATTGTGAGTCGCCGTGAACGAACGGACCGATTACGTCGGGCCAGTGACGGCTCGGCTCCAGGGGAACCCGTTCCTACCGGGTACAAGGCTCCAAGGGAACGACTTTTATCGGGGGCCCTTCTCCTCTTTATTTTACGAGCGTCCGCGTCGCCGCACCCCTCCGCATTCGCCGGATTCCAAGCGGCCGACGCCGTTACCAAAGTCGTCAGCCGACGTTGCCATCCGCCAGAAAAGCGGATTCGCTGTTACACATCTCTCTATCCGCCCGAAATTTTCCTCCCGCTGAAAACTCGCCCCTCTTCCGAGAATCACGGGCTCCAACCACCCCTGCTCGCTCGGGAACGTTCTTATAAATATTTCGAAATCTCGGAACGATCGCTCTGCCAGGTGGCAGTCACTTTGTTTCTGAAAAGGGCTGCTGAGAAAAATGTCTGAGATTCTTCGATGCGAAGGATTTGCTGGTGTTCCAGGGTGTAATTCTCTGTCGTCTTTGATAGATGAATTTCGAGGTTAGGAGTCAGGGGTGTATTTTTGTTCCGCGTGGTTTGCGAGCGTTCCGATTAGATCGAATTAACGTCTATGAAACATTTCGATTTTTATACCGTGCAGAAAAATTCACCGTGCAACCAAAGAATTGCTTCTTCTGAAGGGGTAGTTTTTTAGGTAATTGTTGCAAAAGTAGTTGTTTCTATGGTGAGAGAATTATTTCGTCTATGGGGGTAGTTCTGCAAGCAATTGTAGACGAAGAACTTACTTTTATAATCGAAGGGGTATTTCTACGAGGGGTAGTTTTGTATACAATGATACAAGTAGAAAATATTTCTTTAGACATAGAATTTTAATATTGTTAATGAAATATGTTGTGTATTAAAACTTATAGCAATATTCTTCTTAAATTTAAATTATTGTAATTATTTCACCTGTTAAACAGAATCTTTTTTGCAAAACTAGATAGCACATATCTCTTCGAGAGAATCTTTCTAAATAAATAATAACATACTCATATTTATCACAGATGAAATATTTCTGGCGTTACTTTGCACCGGTCTGATCGCTTCTTTTCAAAGAAGATATTAAACACGTATCATCATTATTAAATATCGTTGTCATTGTCGTATTTGAGGATCCACAATACGCCATTGATTTCTGCGCTTCAATTTACGCGCGACAATGCTGCGCGTGCAACAATGGGAGAGAAAAAAAAAAGTATAGTTCAAAGGTGCGCAAGGATTTAGACGCGGAACGCGGGTCGTTGAAAAATACTAAAAAAGGAAAAAAAAACGGTGAAACGATGAAAGAACTGTAGTATAGTTAACCGGCACAGAGCAACACTATCGACAGGCAATTTTCTTTTCTTTTTTGTTTTACAGATCGTTCACGGTCATCGAGGGGAAAGCGGATTCGACGTTACATTGAACCGATAGAAACCGGCAGAGCCAAATCGATTGATTTTTTTACTTTTCGGAGGGAGGAGAAAACGAACGGATCGGAGCCCGGTGAAACGCGCACTTGGCAATTGAAAGCGAATCGACGGTGACGCGTTTTCCGAAGAAACGACTTTATTATTCCATTATTTATTTTACGAGCGGCCATCGTCGCGGCGCGGCTGATTTCGCGGAGAGTTTATAACCGACCACGGCTGCTTTCTATCAATTGCCTATAACCGGCAGTTTTTTGCTTTGGGAAACCGTGATAAAGCTCTCGAGTCGGTCATCCCGGCGTCGTACTTTTCAATTAAAGCTTATTTCTCTACCCTTATGCTTTTCCTTTTCCATTTTTGCCGTCCCGTTTTCTACCCCCCCCCCCCCGCGATCCTCTAATTTGACC